TGCTGTGCAAGCTCTGCACTGCTGGAGACACGATTCTGTAGCTGACTCCTCAGGAGGAGATGTCCTGGAGCTTGCTGGACACTCTGGGACGTCCTAAAGACTTCTTCACTGCAGTCCAACCTCTCTCCTTGAAGTTCTTGATGATCCGGTAAATGGTTCTTTCAGGTGCAATATTCTTTGTAGCAAGTGCTTTCTGATATTCTTCAGCGCTGTTTTCAGCCCATCTGTATGGCTTTCTGATGTTGTACAGCTTACTGGGCTTTGTGTTAATGCTATTTTCTGTCTTTTTGAGATGCACAGTGATTTGACTGTGATCAGACAGAGGGGTTAGTTCTCTAACAGTGAATGATCTGAGAGATGAAGGATCTCTCTCTCTCTCTCTCTCTCTCTCTCTCTCTCTCTCTCTCTCTCTGTCTCTGTCTCTGTCTCTGTCGTGTTTGTGCCGCGTGTGGAAACGCTGGGCCGCCTCCGGGTTTAGAGTCTGGCAGATAATCAAAGGCTCTCTCAGATCACACAGATCGATAGGATCAGTTCCTCTCCACGCGCCTGCAAACGGTTCCACTTCACCATCCCTCCTCTTTCAGGACCTCGATTAGAGCGAATCTTCAGGCAGAAAAAGAGAAAAAAATTATTCATTCACATTCATATTGCTCCAAACCCAAAGACCGACCTTCCTTCCACAAAAGGAGGTGTTTATTGTTGTTTTTAAAGGGGTCCTATTATGCTCTTTTACGATGTCTTGATTTTGTTTTGGGGGTGTACTAGAACAGGCTCTCATACTAGGTTGTTCGAAAAAAACAACCTAGTATGGGGAAGTCGTGGCCTAATGGTTAGAGAGTCGGACTCGTAAATAGCTCGAATTAGCGTCAATTCGGCGTCAATTGCTTAAATGCAACAACAAAATACAACGTCAAACTCACTTCCTTTTCAAAATCCAAAATACTGCCAAACAGTTGCTTTTGCATTTCGTTTCGAAACTAAATCATCCGCGATCGTCTTGTCTGTCTCACCTCACTCTTCTCGTTAGTCAGCTCGACTCACTCTCCTCACTGGAGAAATTAAATCTGATCTGTGATGCGACTGTCGTTCGACACGCTGCATTGAGCAGCCGCGTTCAGTTTTTAATTGTAGTGTCTGTTCTTTTACTGAACTATAAAAAAATCTAAACGACGGTGGGGGTCGGTGCCACGGTGGGCAAGTGACGTAACCGGTGTTGCGTCTTAACAACGGTATCACCGTCAGCACCGTCTATCACGGCAAGCCTACTCGGCGCCTGGTCGGGAAATGTCATGCCCCTTACCATAGCCGCCTGCGAGCTTCAGTGTAAATATTGCATCAAACTCAAATCAATTTGAGCGCGATTTAAACCCGGATGATTATAATAACCACTCTAAGTTCGTCTGCCTTGGGAAAGCTAGCGTGTCTCCGACATAGTGATAACACTCGTTGCCTTCTCTAGTGCAGCTCAACCAGGTCTCGTCCCATTCGTCGATATTTGTGATATCACAAATCCCGGAAAAGTTGTAGTCCAAACAAGTCGTTCGTTGTAATTTTTGAAAAGTGATTTCTGTTTAATAAAATATCTCCTTTTGAATTGGACTTTGAGCTTTGTAACTTTGCAGATCTTTTTTATGCTCAAACAGCAACATTACAGACTAACTAAAGTTGAAAAAATGAAAAAGCATAATAGGAACCCTTTAAATCTTGACAGTATAAAACACAGTCTATGTTCATTATATGGACTGTGAACTTCCTGCTTAACATCTGCTTTTGTGAAGAAAGTTTGGGTCACTTATAACGTGCATTCGGGAACGTGCCAATTCTGTCCAAATTTGTAATGAGAAGTGCTTGTAAACAGGCTGTAATCCTAAAAAGAGAAAATAAATACAAGTAAATATTAGTATTGTAATATTAGCATTCTAATTTTACTGTTGTATTCTAAAATAAAATTATTATTGTAATATTTTCTTAAATACTTTTATTTTACAGTTAAATATTGCAATAGTAATATTTCTTATTTTGTTTATTAAATACTTTTAAATAAAAAATATAAATATTTGTATATAACATTATGTAATATAATAATAAATATATAATAAATATTAGTAGTAGTAGTAAAAATAATATTATATTTTTGTAATTATTTTAAACTTTTTAAAAATTGCTTTTTATTTCACAGTAAATTATCACAATAGTAATTTCTTATTGTTGAATATTTTATTTAATAATAATAATAATAATTGTTGTTTTTCTTACATACTAAATTTTACAGTGAAATATTACAATAGTAACAATAGTAATATTTTAATATTTCTTATTTTGTATTATTTTAATTATTTATTTTTATTTTTATAATACTACTTCGAATTATAATAATGTTATTGTTTTTTTAATACTTGCTTTTTATTTCACAGTGAAATATCACAATAATAATATTTTTTATTGTTTTTAATATTTTGTTTAGTAATAATATTTAGACGAAGAATTGTTCTTTTTAAATACATGCTTTTTAAAATAGTAATAATTTTATATTTATTATGTTTTAAAAATCTTTATATAATAATAATTTGTTATCACATTGATATATAATCATAAATTTTTTAGCCAAACAAACAAGCACAGCAAACCTGGAGCTTTTTTTTTTCTTTTCTTTTTTTGAAATGCATCTTAAATCACAACCGCAATTAAAAGAATAAAATCTCAGTTGTATTTGTTCCCCAGCTCTCAGAGCGTGCATGTTCAGATGTGAAGCTCTTTGTGTTTTCAGACCTGTGTTGCAGACGGTGGTCAGAGCGTCTGCTTTTAGAGGGCAGCGTTCACATTAGTGAGATTAATTCGTAATGTCACAGTGATTAAACTCAACGAGGGGCCATGCGGCGCTGATCGTGACATTGATTGCTGCTACCTTTAAAAGTGCAGCAGCTGCAGGCATGCAAACACACACACACACACACACACACACACACGTAAAAACAC